CTGGCAGTGAAAAGGCAGGTCTGCAGTGAGTTGATATGGCCAGCGCAGTTGTTAATTGAATAACAGGCAATCTATAAACACTACTAATTGCCTATGTGAAAACCTGTGTACAAGTAGAGAAGCTGCCTAAAGAAGCACTCCAGGAAAAACTACATGGATAAAGCACTCAGCAAATCTTCTGTCTCTCTCAATTCTGTTAAGTCATGGCTTAGTTTTGTCACTGCATCCTTCTGATTAACCTCTACACAGCAGACTTAATGATACATTTTTCAAAAGATCATTTTTCTTCCTAACTCAATACGAAACGCAGAACTATCAATTACCCATTTCAGAAAAGAACAAACAAGTAATCTAGAAAATTCAGCCTGTGAATGGAAAGCTTTCTAAATTGTAAAAGAAGACATGGTCTTATCCCAACAGGCAAAATGCTTTTCAGAATTGTTCCGACGCATTTTGCAGAAGTGTGGCAGCTGCTGTGAATAGCATGGAGTGTTAAGATTTGACACTTTTTTTTTCCTTAAGGATATAGCCATTTGGGGAGGCTCAGAAACTGCTGTTGGAATTTTACTTATCCATTTAATAAATGCTTTTAGAATGATGATTTCAACCCTGGTGAATATAAAACATTTCAAAACTATTGCGCTAGGATCTAAATCAAACTTTATTTTTTAAATCTGTAAAGAAGACTGGTCGGCCCAAGGGATTAGTTATGAGATAGGAAACCTCCTCTAGTTTAACATTCAAATCCAAATAAGGACAGTGGAGAGCAAAGGTCATTGCCATGCTAAAGGTATCTAGCAGCTTCAATGAAATGAACTGATAAGCTTACCATTCCTGTCACATCAGGAAACCAAGAATAAACTATCAGAGTTACTGCACAATATTTAGAAGCACAAGTATTAGAACCAAACTTACTTATACTCAACTTGAGTACTAATGGCTCCAATACTAACTAGCGATAGGCAAAAAGCCTAATGTCGCTGGGCCTCGGTTTCTTCAACTAGAAAGTGGGAATTATTAAATCAACCTCATAAGGTTGTTAATGAGGAGTCAAAGATCTAACCGGTAATATGCTTGCAGTGTCTCACATAAGAAGTGTTCGATGGCCGGGCGCGGTGGCTCAAGCCTGTAATCCCAGCACTTTGGGAGGCCGAGGCGGGTGGATCACGAGGTCAAGAGATCGAGACCATCCTGGTCAACATGGTGAAACCCCGTCTCTACTAAAAATACAAAAAATTAGCTGGACATGGTGGTGCGTGCCTGTAATCCCAGCTACTCAGGAGGCTGAGGCAGGAGAATTGCCTGAACCCAGGAGGCGGAGGTTGCGGTGAGCCGAGATCGCGCCATTGCACTCCAGCCTGGGTAACATGAGGGAAACCCCCTCCTAAAAAAAAAAAAAAAAAAAAGTGCTCGATAGTAGGAAAAGTTATAAAAAAATAAAGCATATAACTGTAAATATTAAGATACGTTTAGCAATAGCATGTAATGGAATAATGGAATGGTACCTCAAGCTGAGCTTCTTTCTCACATTTCATCAGTCTAGAAGAGAATAACAGCTTTCACCAAAATTCCTTGAGAAAAAAATGTGTATTTGACTGGTCTCGCTTTAAGATAGAGACATACTTCAGCTAATTGATACTCTTTATTAAGACCAAGAGTAATTCCTCAAATATGAGTCCCTCAGTCAATTAGAAACAAGAATGAAAAGAAGCTATGAAGAATCACTGTTAACTATTTTTTTAAGGAAAGGTGTGACAAGTGCTGCACACAGGGAAATCAATAAAGTCAGGAAAGGGCTGCCATTTCTGCTTTTACCCTGGAGGGCTCTTAATCTCAAGATGTCCCCAGATCACCAGGAGAAAGACCTGATTTGCAATGTTTAGATATTAATTCCAACCACTCTTATCAAACATCAGAACTAACAATAACTGTTTGTTAGTTTCACCAATTCACTGACTACAAAACGGTATGTTAATTGAAAAGACTTTTATGGACAAACCAGGTATGCCAAGTCTTCCATGTATTTATAGGCAGAACATAAGTGATCCAGTCTCCATTAAAGCCCCACGCTCATTTCGCGGATAGAGATCCCCACCTACAATATGGGCATGGCAGCCTTCTGGAACCCACACCTGCTTCCAGCACATCCAGCTTCTTCGCAGGATAAGGAGTTACATTTCTCATCCTTGCTGCATTTGAACTTTAAGATTTTGGAAACTGTCAACATTGAGTTCTCTGCTCCTGAATTAATTTATATCTTGCTCCAACAATCTACACTTCCTGATCTCGGGCCCAGATATAAACCCACTTTTAACATATACTATATACAGGTGAATGAGAAATGAAGCAAGATTCATTAACATTAATAAATATGTTAAAATATAATCACAATCCAATGTTGAAGCTCCTCCTAGAAAACTAAATGGAAAAAAAAAAAAGGTACCAAGCTAAAATTGTAATGCAGTTTCAGTATTTTAAACATGGATGTTAAACAAGTCAAGTTATTTTTCAAATACCACGTATGAGTGTGTATGTGAGTGTAAACCTTAACCACACATGGATTTCAATTATATATATTTAGTATATTTTATACTACTATTATAGATATCCAAAGAGACTCTATTAAGAATGAAATTATATCCATTACTTTAGATTGAAAGCAACTAATACTATGCAATAGGATTAGTCAATTAAACTAGGAGTCACCCGAACCATTTTTGAAGCCGTTTGTTTTGTTTACAAATGCATGATCACATAACGAAAAAAAAAAATCCTTTAGGGAAAAAGGATACATAGCTGCTAGTGAGTTGCATTCAGACTAAAATAGCGCTTTTCCATGTTCTTCACTGATGTCAAGATTATAAAAAGATTTCTGATATAAATATGAGGATTATTTTTAATTATAAACTTGTACACTTTAATATAGATTTTCAAACTGCTACTGTATTAAAAACACTGGATCTATAACTAACTTATTTTAATTCAAAACAATCATGAGTAGCATACCAATAAGATATCAAGATTTGTAGCTAAATACAAATAAAAAATCCTCACCCTCAAGGAGTTTCAAGTGAGAATACATCTATAATATAATATTGTGATATACAAATGGTATGACCAACATCACACAGGCATACAAAGGGTAGGTGGTTTCTCAAGTATAAAAATTTTGCCAAATGAAGAGTTGGGGAAAAGGGTGTCACAGAGCAAAGCTTCAACCTAAATAAGACATGAAGGTTTAACCTAATAAGACATGAAACTTAATAAGACAACATTCATCCTAATAAAACATGATTAGACCACAGAATGCAGGGATGGGGAGTGGTTGAATATAAATATGCAAAGACAAGTTGTAAAAAGCCTTACGTTTCAGCTCGGCGCAGTGGCTCATGCCTGTAATCACAGCACTTTAGAAGGCTGAGGCAGGTGGCCGGGCGCGGTGGCTCTTTGGGAGGCCGAGGCGGGTGGATCACGAGGTCAAGAGATCGAGACCATCCTGGTCAAAAATGGTGAAACCCCGTCTCTACTAAAACTACAAAAAAATTAGCTGGGCATGGTGGTGCGTGCCTGTAATCCCAGCTACTCAGTAGGCTGAGGCAGGAGAATTGCCTGAACCCAGGAGGCGGAGATTGCGGTGAGCCAAGATCGCGCCATTGCACTCCAGCCTGGGTAACAAGAACAAAACTCCGTCTCAAAAAAAAAAAAAAAAAAAAAAAAAAAGGCTGAGGCAGGCAGATCACAAGGTCAGGAGTTCAAAACCACCCTGGCCAATAGAGTAAAACCCTGTCTCTACTAAAAATACCAAAAAAAAAAAAAAAAAAAGTAGTTGGGCATGGTGGCGGGCACCTATAGTTCCAGTTACTTAGGAGGCTGAGGCAGGAGAATTGTTTGAACCTGATAGGCAGAGGTTGCAGTGAGCTGAGATCACACCACTGCGCTTCAGCCTGGGTGACAGAGTAAGACTCTGTCTCACACACACACACACACACACAAAAGTCTTATGTTTCATGCAAGAGAATTTAGCATTTTTCCTAAAGTCAATGAGAAGATATCCAAAGGGTGATGATCAGAATTGTGTTTTAGAAAGTAAGCTCTGGTAGAAGAATTAGACTGAACAGGGAAAGAGACCTGACCTAAGGAGGCCATTGGGGGACCAAAATAACTGTTCAAGTGAGAAATGGCACGGATGTGAACCAGGGCAATTAAGTGGCTAAGGGATTTGCCTGGTATTCAGAGTAAGCATAGATAGGCATTAGGCTGGATATGGGAAAAGAAAGGACATGAAAAATAAGCACACCACTTCTAGTCTGAATGACTAGATGCATAATGAGACTCAACTGAGAGAGGAAACGTAGAAGCACAGTGTTGGGGAACTTCTGAGACTGGCCTGAATGAAAAACAAATAAACCAAAAAAAATCTATATAAATCACCAAAGAAAATGCTCTGATAGTCAAGTTGAAATGCCTTTTTTCCCTCTCCTTACTTGAAAGTATTTTGGCTTTTTCCATTAAAATAAGCAACTTATCCTTTTTTGCTAAACCCACTGGTCAACACTATACTTTCCATGTAGTACCAGGCCATTAAGCATCTTACAAATACAGTTCCAGCCTTTTGTTTATTTGCTTAATTATTTCCTATTGATATCCTGCATCTGTAAATTAGACCTTCCCAAGTTGTAAAAATCAAACCATAATGTACACATTTAATCCTTTTCTAGAAGCACATGAGTGTTCAGAGCTAGAGGGGTCTACTCTAATCTTGCCATTAGAAATTATCGGAAAAGGACTGCATGAGTTTCATGTGAGTATAGAAAGTAGAGGAGAAAAAGCAATTTCTTCCCATTATGTTAGAATTTGGCCCTCATAAATGTTCTAAGAGGCACAGGAGGCCAAGTGTGAAGATGAGTCAGACTGGAGACATAGCAGTTATCCAGTGAGAGTTGGAATGGCTTGGGAGATGTGAACACACAGACACAAACTTAAAGGAATGCTTAAGTTACCTTCAACATCACAACTTAGGTAATTACGCACTTCATTCAAAATGAAGTTGATATCTTCTTCTGAGGGAATTGGATGGTGTGTGATATCAGTTGGAGTATCAGTAGTGCCAGCGATCGTCATCTTTTGCCAGGGTAAGAAGAAAATAACTCGCCCATCACTGGTCGCTGGGTCAAGAAGTCCCATGCTCTCTGGGCTGAGGTACAAAGAAGGGTTATTTATTTCTGAAATTTTCAGAAGTTTAACATTAATCTGCATTCTAAAAACTGTTTATTCACTAATTCTCAAATAAGCAAACAAGAAAGATAAGAACTATTACTTGTACTTCCCCTACCCTAATCTAGAGACTCCTAAAAGAAAAAAAGAACTTTGGTAACAAAACAGGTTGAAACAAATGTGATCATAATAACATTCCACAGTAGAGCTACCCCTGCCCTCCCGACTTCAACAATGCAAGGCTAATTAAGAAAGTGGGCTTCAACTTCCAACTGTTTTCGTTTCATACTCCTTGGACAATTCACATCAGATAACATCAGCAGGATAAATGTCTACAATTACTTTTATAATGGTAAATTAAGGATACATCTTCAACCTTTTTTTCAAGTTTAGCAAAAGTATTTTCCAGGACATCTGACATTTGATCTTTCAATAGAAATTATCAGAAGTACATGAGAAAGTGAAGGGTCTAACCTTCTAGAAACTAAAACGTAATCACAAAGTTCTTTACTACTACTAGATGAACTTGTGCCACTTCACCAAATATGAGTTTTCTTACTTCATTTCGAGGTTACAAAAATCTCAAGAAGTGCATCTAGAAGAAAAGAGCTCCATTTTTTACTACTCCCTAAATAACAATGTCCTAAGATAAGGTCAAAAAGGAGAGGAACACTTAGCAATGAAAATCTTTTAAATAGAAGACACTAGTAGTGTACCATGCTAAATCAAAGTACAATGCTGCCTCTACTGACAGACTACATAAAATCTCCCAAAATTATAGTCAAAAATTTTTACTGACATTTACTATTCTAAAATCAAATAATAAAACCTATTTGAAAGAACAGGCAACTGTAAACATACATTAACAAAACCCATTACTTTGTTTTTAAATCACTAAAGATTGATGTTTTATTTTGTTCCTTAGCCATTCGAAGAAATCTGGAGATGTTAAAAGAGTGAGATGAATCATAAAGTGTCCTATTCAAATAGAACACTACAAATCTTCAGATAGCTGCTCCAGTTTGACTGGATTCTTGTATCAAACCAGTGTTACAGGTATTTTCTATAAACATGTTTTTACCTTTCATTAACATTATTTCTTAAGTAGAAAACATAATTCTATTTGGTTTGAACAAATTTCAAGAAATTCCTCTTACACACAAAGTTAAAAGGGTATACAGTCAGATTTTTATCTTTATCGTCATTCCCTTAAAATTATTTTTTAAAAAAGATTTATCCTAATGTGTAAAAATGAGTGGCTGTGTAAATAATAATAATATCTTATATAAAAAAAGAAACAGTTTAGCTAATGCATCTCCTTTATTTAAACCACAAGGAATATGAGTCTTTCTCTTCAAAAAACCCTTGGCTGCATGAAATGCTTGCCATGTCTACGCAGCCTTAGCAGAAAGAAGTCACTGTTCAAAGCCTATTTGAGACACAATCGAAGAGAGTGGGTAGAAGTTCCTTCTACATAGCAAATCCAGAAAGCACTGCGGAAGTCTTCCAATTATCTAAACCTCAGCTCATAGTCCCACCTTCACTCAGGGTTACTTAAAGAAAATAATTTTACCTTTACTCTAATATATTGAAAATTACAAATATCAAGTAATTTTGTTCTCTAAATGTAATTATTTTTTTCTTTGCATTTATCATAAAATCTGAGAAAAAAATAGTTAATCACGTGTTTTGTAAGTACATTTTTTGATCCTGGGTTGATATGCCCTTAGATAACATCAGTCACTTTCGGATTAACAATGGACTCACTCAGCGTTCAAGCATTCTATTTGATAAAAAGAACTATATTGAAACAAAAGGATACATTCTATATTCTAACACTTGATAAATAAATTATATGCTGACATATTTTATATGGCTATATCATAAAACAGGCATCATATGATGTGTCTTAAAATAATAAACCTGATAAATTTAATCATAAAATTATAATATTCAGCAACCTAAATAGGAAATGCCATTAGAAAAGCACAACTACTGAATCCTTTAAAAACTTTCAATGCAATAAAGTAGTTTAAAAGGTGAATGTGATGGTTACCAACACACACATAACTGGAACCTGTAAAGAATAAACTGCTTAAGTGAAGACATATGTGACAAACACAAAATTAACAAGCACAGAGGGAAGACAAAGCTATTAATGAATGGTATAAAAATTTAAGAATCCACTTGGAAATATCTTTCATCAGTTCTAAATTACCTAATTCATACTCTCCCTTAGGGAAAAGTTTGATTTTCTCATGAAGAATTAATTTTGCAAGTTCACACTAAAGTTTGAGAATGGATATCAACTATAGTGATAGTGTATGCAATGCAGCAAGGCAAAGGTCTTTTTTCAATATCTATGACTTATTTGACATGAGGAAAAGCTTGCTGTTAATTTATGTGTGTGTCTAGGATTACATGAACATTTCTCATGCAGACCACCACTTTCCTGAAGTGCCCTTAGTTAAACTGAAATCAATTTATTGTTAACTACTTAGCAATCAGAGTTAGAGTTAACAGTATGTACGCACATTATAGAAAAAACTTGATCTCTTGTCAGTAGTAAAAAGCATCAGTAGGCTACACAGAGATGATTATTTTCATGTATTTCAGTCATTTGGTACATTATTGCTGCTTTTGGAAGGGCCATAACTCTCAGGGAAATTCCAGATTTGTTCTTAATATAAAGAGCGGCTTTAAAAATAATTTCTGTTACATTTTCCAAAATTAAAACAATTTTTCCTTCTTCCCCTCTTCCCCCAGAAAACTGCTATCATGGTGTACGACAATTCCACAAGTGGAACATTAGTTAAGGTTACAACAAAATTAACAAATGCTACACAGATACTTCTGAAAATAGCTCAAGAAGATACACTGCACACACGGTTCTTTACTCTTCCTTTACCAGCCTACGTGTAATGAATCAATAGTTACTGAGCTCACTGCATTTCCAAATGGATCAGGTTCTAACTGAAACATACCTGGTCTTAAATTATCATCAGTCACTTGTGGGGCAGCCCCAGAAGCTTGGGTTCATCCCCGAAGACTTAGTCAAAACCACTGAGTGACAGCTGCTAAGTGTGACTGACTGGTGATACCAGAGAGTGATTTCAGTCTGGGACCTCCTAATATCACCTAAGAGAATGATCTGACAGAAAGAGGAAAACCACCACTATGCAATGCCTGAAGTACAGTTGCCTCAAGGTCGATGCTGAATGAGGGACTGAATCCTTAATCTAGGTCACAATCCAAAGAGAAAGGACTCATCTGCAAGAGAGCCTGAATGGGAACTAGGCTGTAGACCATTTCTTTAAAGCTTCCAACAGGATGTGTAGTGGTTATAGCTCACAGTGCTAAAAATGGAGATATTAATTTCTCCCAAAATAGAATGAGATCACTTACTGCATCTTAGTCTGAGACAAACCTAGCTGTAACTAACACCTTCATGTTTCAGGAGACCTGAAACTAATACTGAATTTTTAGGATTAAGAAAGGCATTCGTTGACTGGATAAACAATGAAATGAACACAGAAATGAAGATAAAGAAGAAAAAAAAAAAAAAAAAAGAAAGTCATTCTGTTTTTAAAATATTACACCTGGGTAATATATACCTATATTCTTAAAAGACACCAATCTACTCTATTATTAAAGCACAGTATAGAACAATATATGTAACATGACCACTTTCACACAAAATATCTAACAGAATAACATTTGTGCTTGTAAAAACATAATTTTATGGAAGGAATTAGAAGAAAGGTTATTAATTACCAGAGAAGAACCAGGGGAGGGGATAAGAGGTACAGGAAATAAAAGACAGACTTTCAATTTTCATTTTCATCTATTTTTTCTATGGTGATGGAAATTTCTGGTTATGTACTTACATTATTTATTTATTTTTGTCTGCCAGGATTATCTGGGCAGTAAGTTGAAGAATCATGTTTTATTTTCATATTTTAAATTCTCTATATTAAAAAAATCTCAAACATTATATCAAAATTGTAATATAAATAAAGCAACAATCTCAATATAAGCAAGTTAGCATAAAATTTTAGTAGGATTATTCAAAAAATATTTACTAGGCATTACTACATGCCAGATACTGTACCAAGAGCTGGGGATACAACAGTCTATAAAACAGAAAAAATAATCAAAGGATTATTGTCAAACCTTATACTAGGTAGGTATTATCAAGATATAAGGGGCCAGGCACATTGGCTCATGCCTGTACTCCCAGCACTTTGGGGGATGGACATTTATAGATTTCAGTATACAGGTCTTGTGCCTCTTTTGCCAACTTTATTCCTTAGTATTTCATACCCGTTATACTCTTTTAGATTATATTGTATGTTAACTTTTGATTTTCTATTTCTCGCTGCTAGTATATTAAAATAAAATTGATTTATAAATGTTATTTATTCTAGGCTGGGCATGGTGGCTCATGCCTGTAATCCTAGCATTTTGGGAGGCCAAGGTGGTCAGATCATTTGAGGCCAAGAGTTTGACCCCAACCTGGCCAACATGGCAAAACCCTGTCTCTACCAGAAATACAAAAATTAGCTGGGTGTGGTGGCGTGTGCCTGTAATCCCAGCTACCCAGGAGGCTGAGGCAGAAGAATCACTTGAATTTGGGAGACAGAGGTTGCAAGGGGCCGAGATGGCACCACTGCACTCCAGCCTGGGCAACACAGCAAAACTTCATCTCAAAAAAAAAAAAAAAGATATAAGGAATGAGAAGCTGAAAGAAGTAGCTTGCACAAGCCACACAGTTAGCCCAAGGAAAAGTGATTGAAGAAACCCCAGAAATCCCATACTAAGGTACCACTTTGATTCTATGTACAATCTCTCTGTTTCAGCACTCTGAAAGAGCAGAATGTTTTCCCATTTTAATGATGGAAAAACTAAGGTTCACAAAGTAAAATGGCTTGTCCCAAGGGATGTAATTATTTAGTGACAGAATTAACATAAGGCCTGTGGGGAATAAAATGTGTCTTTTGACATCATGGGACGATAGGGAAGAAAACATAAGGCACAAAACACATAAGAATATGTTGAATCTATTCAAATCTAAACAAATATAAGACTTATGATGATTACATGTGCACTCCATTCTTAGAGATGCGCAAAAACAAAAATTCATCAAACTAACTGACCTTAGATATTTTTAATCGAACACAAAAGCATATACAATTGCATCTAGAGCTAATGTTGAAAATTCTTCTATATATAAGAAACATATGGGACATTTAAATATAGTTATTTTTCTCCTTTTCATTTGAACTAAGCTTCTGGTTAACAGTTTTAAAAACTCTGTTAGGTACCACTGCATAAATTTCGATTATCTTATGCAGTGGTGACTTAAGAGGCACCTTGATGTCTCTAGTCCACAGTAAAAATCCTAAGGACTATCTGTTTCTCTCACATAGGCTTTTTGAAAGTGAAAAGGAAACCTTGGAAGTTGATGGATAAGAAATTCCATTTAATGAATTTCTCAGAAGAGTATCTGGTGCCAATTAGGTGCATCTTGGAGACTTCAGGAAGATTTAGTTACTGGACAACCAACAACTAAAAAGGCGGCATGATCTATAGCGTAGCAGGATGGCATTATAGAAGAATACAAGTATTAAACAAAATATCATAGTTTCTACACATCCATCTTATCAAATATTAAAAGCTGTATATTCCATTTATGGAGAATTATTAAAACATGGAAGGCACCCCATGTTTAACATGTAACTCTCACCCATAATCACATTATCTAGAAACAATCACTATTCACATTTAACATATTTCCTTCTAGTCTTTTTCTATATACATTGTTAGAAGCTACAGCACATAAAATATCAAGTCCTGTACTGTAAACTAACATTGGCGTTTTCCTAGGGCATTAAAATTATTTATAATTATAATTCTTAATGAATATATAATATTCCCTTGAGTAGTTATGCCATTATTTATTTATCTATTACCCTAAGGTGAGGAACTGAAGTAGCTTCTAATATTTCTCAACTACAAACAATGCCATAATGAATACTGTTACACATGTCATTATTTCATAAAGAATTACTACTTTGCCTACTATATGTACTACATATGCAAATAAAAACAGTAAGCATGCTCTATACTCTTAGCATGGCCATATGAATTTTTTCTATAAATATCTTAAAATGTACATTATGGGTAACTATTTTTTAGCCAGAACCACATTTCTTTTGTAATTTATTAAAAATTTCAAACATATATAAACAGATTTTAATGACCCTCCATGTTCCCATCACCCAGCTTAAATGATTTTCATTTAATAGCTATTCTTATTTCATCTCTACTGCTACCCATATCTTCATCCTCAATTGTCTTTGTTAATTTGATAGGTTAGATATTTTATCTGGTTTTTACTTGCTACAATATTTTTAAAAATCTATTTCAAAAGTTATAAACCTAAGAATACCTGGATAGCCCATGCTTTCAGATTCTTCATAAGGAAATTTGGGTATTCTGCAAAATTAATGTCTCACTGCTTTAACTAAAATATGTCCTTTATAAAAATTTTTGCAAAATTAATTTTGTTAATGACTTAAGTTTAATTCAAAAATACCAATGCTTAGTCTCTGAAAGTGACTACATTGAACAAAGAAAAATAGAAAGACCCCAAAACATTAACCCTTAGAAATGAGTATTGCCATAAGTGGCTAAAGATTTCCCAAGTCTGGTTTGTATTTGTGTTTTAAAAGAGTTCCTTTACTTATTTCTCCTGATTTTGAACAGCAAGTTAGACCATCTATTGTTATGCTAGAAGAAAAAATTAACCACACTCTCTCCTGACCCTCTTTCTTGGGTGATGACTGCCACATTGGAAGACAGTTACCTGTAATAACCAGGCATCACAATATGAACACCAGCACTTGGCTGGCAGATAGCTGCAGCATCCTTATCATCCATTTTGCGCACAGAGTCCGTGAAAGGTCCTGTGGCATTGATAACACATTTGGCTCTCACGTCAAATTCCTGCCCTGTGAAAGAAAGCAGCATCCGTCAAACACCGAATTTGTTTCTCTGTTCACTGATGCTGTGGATTACTAATTCATCTATGAACTTAACCCATGGTGAAGTATACTGCATGCCACACTAAGTGACCTGAGCAGCCCCAGTTACTGAAGAGACAAACAAAAGGTTCGCATATGAGTGGATTTACCAAAAACAAGTCCGAATTGAAGGAAAAAAACATTCCACTTTCTCATTACAGTTTTTAGTCTATCTTCTAAGTGCCCAGCCTCAAAGCACCAAATATGAAAAAGTAGAATGAGTAAATAAGCCGCTTTCTCCTGAGAACTCAAATGTGTAAGCAGCATTGCTGTGAGAAAACGTATATCACAGAGCTTTTGTTCAAGAAACGATATAATTTTGAAACTGCATATCTACATGGTGTTAGAACCAGGGCAAGAATGAAAATCTAAAATTAAAGATGATTGACTTTAACAACACGTAAATGCAACGCCTGTGTCACACAAATGAACTTTGAAACTTGACACATTTATTTAATTTTATTAATAACATGTTTTTGTAAAGAAAACAGAATGCATTCATAGCTGTGGGAATTTGGTGGGCATTTTATTATTATCATTATCATTATTACAATTATAATACAAAGAGGAAAAATTGCCAAGTCCCACAAGGGAAATTTTCATGTTAAACCAGTCATTGCTGACAATAAGGAATATAATTAATATGACTCTGAAGCGTGGCTTAAATGAAAGAGAAGTGACAGAAAAATTGTAATTCAGTCATTATATAAGCTAGGCAAGATACTACGAAATACCTCCCTCCCAGAGACCTGGCATACCTGTGAGGACATCCTTGCACCGTGCGCCGCTCACACGCACTTTCCCTGTCTGAGGGTCTGTCTTCTTGAGCAAGCTCACTACCTCCATGTAATTGGCTGTGGCAGCCCCATACCTGGCAGCAGTCAGAGCAATGGCAAGGTTCATCCGTGCATCGTTATGTTGTCCTGCAGCGAGGAAAGCATCAGGGGAGGGACAGGAGTCACCTCGAGCCACAGACTGGTGGTACAGAAGTGTGTCACAACAGATATGTCACATCTGTCCCTGTCACCCAGGATATACGTGATGGCTGGGCAGCTCGACAGGGCATGATTTAAAAGTACACGGTCATTCTCAGGCAGGCATCTACCTGTGGCTTCAGCAAGTGCATTTCATATATCATAAAAAAGAGTGAAAATATCCCTTTCTTACAGAGCTGACATCAATTATCTCAAAGTTAAGGAATAAGTAATTATTCTCTCAGTGTTGGAACATATGTATATGTCAGACTTTTCCTAATACAGACAAATCGTAAGCATGAAAGTGAAGCAATTCAAAACTTCAGAATATCTGACACCCCAACTGGTGTTGATGAACAATTTTTATGAGTATTTTTATGTGTATGTGCTCTATCTAATATTCAAAATCAAGAGCTTAATCTTCCATAGAGCATTTCTCAGTATTCTGTAGGATTTTTCTTGGTTTGAATTTTGATCAGGGCTCCTTAAAATGTAAGATTTTTTTTTAATCACACATAAAAGGTAAGAAATTAAGCAGGGCAAAATTTAATTACAGAACAATTCCTACCTGTATTGTTAAAGATTTATTGCTGAAAAATCCTAGTTAAAGAAAACTAAGGGGGAGGAGAAGGGGGGAAAGATGATTAATCACTTTAAAATACTGGCATCACTAGAGACTTTTTCTATTTATTATTGCCAGTGGAGTTAACGCTGACCAGGAAGAATTACTCTACATTGCAGGGGCCAGGTTTTCTGTGCCCTGAATAATTAATTATCCAGGGCTAGATGTATTGAAGCAGGGTTCAAATTCCCACATATTGGGATCAGTTCTATCAAGATAATACTGATAAAGGGATGAATTTGTAATGGATATTGTTGTTGATTTATGTTGCCAGCATACCAAACATTTAGTATAAATGGTTTATGTAAAGTTTCTTCCTTGTGATTCAGTCTGTGCAGGGCTAGCAGCACTACAGAAGTAATCTGTTCCAGCTAAAAGGGCAAAGTTATAAAGAGAGAATCAATGACTGAAGATTCTGCTGCCCCTCCCCACAAACATCTTATTCTAAAACCACTGAACTAACACAATGGGCTAAGAACCATCCCCCTAAAATTAAATGCTCTATCAAGCGGAGAACACACGTTAAACCTGAACATGCAAAATAAGGAATTATTTTATCTAACAATTAATAGAATGAAAGTAGGATAAGAAAAAACAACAATAGCAGCAACTGAACTGTAAGTGGCAAGGGCAGCAATTCCATAGTTTCAACTAAGCATGATCCTAAAGCTGCTTAAATCGTTAAGTATATTTAAAATTGCTTAAGAAATCAATTTTTATTAATGTAGGGTTATTTGCTTAAAATTGGAATACATTTTATAAAACTAAATGCATGAAAACAGTCCAAAGAAGCTAAATAAAATTTTCATTATAGATCTCCTTAAACTAAGAAAATAACACAGTACCTGTCCCACCCAATCTTTCTGGTTGATTTACATATCTCACAAGGAAACACCCTGCCCCACAAAGGCACATATCTGGTAGTACGAGAAATTCAAGTCATGCTTGCTCTCACCATAGACAGTGAGAAACTCTCACCCACTCAGGTGTGCCTTGATGCCTCTGGAAAGCCAGGCGTAAATGAAATATTTTAAATCCTAAATGAAGTCACTGTTTAAAGGAACTAGGCAGAAACTCCATTTATGAAATGATAATTCCTTTAGAAAGTAGTTACATATTCATCTGACTCTAAGGTGACTTTAAAAAGATAAAATTTTCTTTTAATACATGTTTAAACTATAAAATCTCATTGGAGCAGTATAGGTATAGTTCATCAAGCTCTGTTGCTTCCATACTAAGAAATGTTCCCTATTAGCATCTAAATCCAAATACGATTGTAGGTAATCAAGGTTAACTTCAGTTAAAAATGTGAGGTGGAAACAAATTCCTGTGGCCCTTGTTTTTCTATATACACTCCCCACGTCCAAGCAGCACCCGTCTTGACTCCAATCCGAGATGTAACTTACACACAAAGGCCGTTGATATGATCCTTGTCTGCCCTGGCTCATAATACCTAGAATTGTGAAATTATTCGCAGCTTCCTGAACATTCATGTCATTTCCCACCTTGCTTTTCCACACACTTATTCTTCTGGCTGGATACCATTCTGGAAGTTCTGAGATACATCTATTCATCTCTCATGATCTAGTTCAAATGTCTAGTTCTGCATCTCCTGGAGGGATGCAGAATGTCTCCCTTTATCTACCACCCTTCAGGGTAAAATTATTCACTGCTTCCTCTGGGTCAATATTTCACCTTGTACATACCTTTTAAAATTGTCTTTATGATCTATAATCATCCATGTGTCCATCCACTTACAAAAATAGAAATGCTTTGTTTGAGACAGGCACTGTGACAAATGCAGGGAAAATATCTGAGAAAGATACAGGGTGATCTCTGCCCTCATGAAACTTACATCCCATTGTAGTTACTGTTCAATTCCCACGTCTCAAGAGAAGTCAGGAAGTCTTACTTGGCTTTGTTTTTTTCTCATTATTATCAGGTACAGAATAAGTTTCCAATCAGTGCTGAGTTTAGCCTAATTCCATTCACTGTGTTAAGCAAACAGGTACTGAAATTCTATCTCTAAGTACGGGATGGGATATTTTGTCTATTGTTAAAGAAATTTCAGACTTCAGTAAGTTGGTAGCAAGAAATGTGACAGAGACAGAAATGTGTAAAATCTGAATTTAACCCCAAACTAGGCCTTATATTTATGTTGAATAAGTGGGAGAGAAGCATAAATAGTTATGATTCCCTCGGGACTTATTCCAGAAGGTATCCCTGGCTTTGCAGGGAAATGCAAGCACAGCTATTATTAGCTCCTAAAACTTGAGGAGCAAGTAATCTGATGTACCCCTGAGCCCTGAACCTCACGCCTCCACCCAGCAATCCTCTTCTTCCCAGACATTCAGCTTTATCCATTTACCTCCTTGGATACAGGGTAAACCTCCTCCCCTACCCACATTAAATCTACCATTTACCCTGAGATACCCAGATGCTCGCAGTGTATGCTTCCTGAGATATACATAATATATTTTCATTATTCCTAACTAATTTCCCCAACCCTCTTTCCTGACATTTTAAAAGGTATCTTTACGCCTCCTGTAATTTTTATTCTGGAGAAAAAAGTTTTTGACAGCACTGCATGTCATTGGAATGTGATACAATAATCCCAAACCCCCACCTAATTGATCTGCTTATTAAGTTTAGATTTTCAAAGCTGTTTCCTTAGAGCCAGGCAACATTATACTGTTTTTCACTAATCACTGAATAGCTTTACATTGGCACTTACACAAGGACCCAGACGGGAACTGTGAAAATCTGTTTCCTACTCTGTTCTCTTTTGCACTTGAAATCTTACATATGTGCACATACTGAGCTTACAACTCACAGGAGAAGAAGCACATAAGAGGTGGAACTATAACTGTTTTCCCTTGTTTAGAGAAACAAAATATATAATCTACCCTCCAAAAAGAATGAAGGTTGACGGTGGTAGAGAAAACTTTGTCTTAATCCTCAATGACCTTGCACACAGGAGAATATGAGCTATTTTAAGTGAAAAATACAGGACCACACATATTTTAGAATGTAACTGTCTAAAAGACAGGCCTCAAATATAAATATTTTGGAGACAGCAATATTGCTCCCTCCTCAGAGTCAAAGTTTGGCAACTATGTTAACATGCAAAACAGCTCAAAAAAAGAAAAATAATCACTGAATGTATAACGAGTATGAAGGGTGAGTAAATATGAAAAAAAAAACCCAGGTAACAAATTATCTGACGTTTTCTTATTTCTTCAGGTCTAAGACTCTGATGCTCTGACAGTCTATATACAATCTTCCTTTTAACACAGCATACTTTTAAATGGTATGCTTATCACAGACTTATTGATCTGATTATCTACCTGCCGGTATAGAAACTCTTAATTTGTTAGAAAACGTAGTTCTTAACTAGAATAGCACCTGTCCATAACTTCATCTATTAAAACTGCCACTGTTGAAATGTTGAGAATATTTCCTTCCATATCCCCGTGCCCCGATCTGAGCCTTGTGCAATCACTTTGACTACTTCTAGCAAGGGGGAAAATGATGCTTACAAGAAACAATACCTCCCTAAAGCCTTAATCTCATTTCTAACTAAATTTATACCCCATGCTTCACTGTCTCAGACTATAGTGTCACAACGACCTCTCTGGCAGCTCCCCCTTAGAAGTCTGGCACAGATAATTCAAAGGCTAACCTACCAAAGTCAAGCTGATTCAATATATTTAAAATTTCCCTTTCTGAAGGGAAATACACAGGTAAAGGCAGGGCAAAATAGGGATGTGGGGTGTGTGTGTGTGTGCGTGCGTGTATGAGAGAGAATGAGTGTGTGTGTACATGCACATGTGTGTGTATGCAAGTGTGTGTGTGTATGCACGTGTACTCACACGCATGCGTCATACCTTTGCTTTAAGGTATGACGCATAAACTTAAAATGAAAAACTCAAATAAGAACCTACTCTTCATGGTGAATTGCAATAACAATGCAATTTTCAAACATAAACCATTTATAAAGTGATTGCTTGTGTGGGGAGTGGCAGGGGTCAGAGAGCCACATGAAGCAGTTTAGGGAAAATGTACCTTAAAAGATATTGTGGAGAATGGCTCTGGGCTTAGAATGATTGAGTTATAACTTTTGGGTGTGTCATTAACACAGTTGGGGGACTGTGGGTGACATACTGCACTGCCCTGGGCTGCAATGTCCTATAAAAGGGAGGAGCTGGGTACCTCTGAAATTATACAATGCATGCAATAGCTAATTGTTAATAATTACCTATCCCTTTCAAGATCTCACTTCAACCTTGTCCCATTTCTGGCTTCTCTGACTTTCCTGCAGCCTATC